AATTTAAAATTTTTCACCGAATTGTATATTATAGAATAAAATCATATGCGTTTTAATAACATCGATGAATATTAAATTTCAAATCAAAAAAATATTTTGTGAATTAAAATCGTTAATAATGACATGATTTGTATGCATAATAATTTGATTTTCCTTTGATCAAAAGTGTATGTGACAAAACATACATGATCTGTAACTTAAAACACATTTCTTTCCAAATTAAGAATAATATTTTAAATAAATGTATACTTAATATAAAGCATAATATTACATCATTTACATCTAACATACTAACATATTATGTTAATATTTTGGTAAGGATAAATGCATAGGTAATTTGAGATATAGGTATATTTTACACTTTTAATAAATATGATACTCTTTTTTTTTTGTATTTTAGTTCACATAAATTCGTTATCTGTAATAAACCATGGTAACAATAAAATATTTAAGTGGGGTTACCTACRTCAGGTTTTGCGTATGCAGTAGGTACTATAGATGTTACTGTTTATAGGGAATATTAATGGCCACGCCATAGCTAATTTCTGACAAAGCCTACTCGGTGCGTTTTATTGTGATTATATCGACTGTGTTTTTATTATTCCACGACTGCACAAACTCATTATTCTTATGCAATTTWCACATCATCTACCTATGATAAATACTGGACTTTCTAGTCTCTGTGTCTAATGGCACTGGAGAGGCTAAATATTCAAATTTTAAACATTTTAAAACAAACAAATGTTTTATTCTTACTTAATTTCCATTAAAGCTACGATATGTAATGAAATGTATGGTATACAGAATAGTCCAGAAAAATCGATGATTTCGTGCTCTTGATGCATATAATATGTACTTYGCTTTGTTTGTAGACATTTYTATTAAATAGCAATCATTACCATTATTGAGTGTAGGATAGGGATAGCTCAGATTGAATGTGTGAGCCATATTTATATTTATTTCCACGTTAATATTAGTATATGCTATACTAAGGTATCACCTTGATTTCATCTGTTTCAAYTAGGTCCAAAAACAATCCTACTAAAATTAAGAATATCAAAAAACTATGACTTATATCAAACGAATAAATTTGCTGAGTTGAAGTTTTCGTCACACAGGAAACTGTAGGACTAGGATTTATGTACAACTCACGTGTATAATAGTAAAATATATAAATAACTTTGTAAAAACTTACTAAATTTAATGTCCAAGTATAACTTTAAACGTCAAACACAATGATTTATCATGAGTAAAAATATTTTTTAAATGTTGTAATCTTTAAAATAACCATCGTTATTCAAATATGATGCACAATGAAATAACGAGGTAGCAAATTTCAGTTTTAAAAAACTACACACAGATAATTTGTTTATCTTAATGTTTTATCGTATATGTTAAAGCTCATTCGACATCGTACGGTTTTATAGCGAGTACTTAAAAGTTGTACATTCTCCTGGAGATAAATCGTAATGACAATTTTTAAGCACTGTATATATTTAGTTAGACTGTAATGTGTTGTTGTCCCAGTTGACGCGTCACCACAGTTAAAAGTTTCAAAACATACCATAAAATGTTAATTGTCCGTACATATTGTTGAAATATAAAATAATACTCATTATAATATTATTCGAGGTACGCAAAAATATGCAAAAGCAAAATGAAAACTATGACACTTTCTTCAATACGACGCGATCCATTGACATAACTTAACGAATTTCGTATGTTATTTATATGCTGGAAAAAGTCCTTCAAAAGTCATAACGTTTGTCGTTTTCAGTACTTTTATTAAACAGACAATAAAGTTTTAGCCATAACCTGCGGCGTGGCTTTGCGAGTTACTTTTCTGCAACTGAACAGTCGGAATTATAAATACTTTTATATCGTGATGATAATATTTTGTTGTGTACATTTTTTGACAGAAATATTAAGCAAATGGCCGCTGTTCGGGTCTAGCTTCTTCGCGGTCAAACGCAGCGGAGATCAACAGATATTGGCTCTGAACAGAACCGGTGTCCATTTCCTCCACATTGTTACCCATGTGAGTATAGACAACCACTAAATTGGCATATAATATAATATCTTTTATACTCATCATAAATGTAATGATTCGACGAYGGCGACGTTTACGTGTTTTTAGAAAACCTTATCGACAGTGCCATTTAGTGAAGTGATATCGACTAGAAAAGTGAGAGCTGGCGAAGGTGCCACTCTCTACTTGGAGCTCAAGTGTGGCAACCTGTTCCAGCAACGTGTGGCTAGACTACAAACTGACCAAGCCCATGAAATTGCCCGGCTCGTGAGACAATATATAACCATGCACCGACGTGAGTTTCTTTAATAATACCACATTATGGGTAATTAATAATTTGTATCCGAAACACCACGTATCTATTAATAACTAAAAGTTTCGTCCGACAATGACTTTTCTTGTTTCGACCTTACGCCCGAATATCGATGTACGTATTTATGCAGTGTTGATAATATGCGTGATCTTATCGAATACTCTCGTGTTTTATTTTTTAT